AACAAAAAAGCTGATACCGATACCGGCTGCGGCTGGGAGGGCTTGCTGGGTGGAGAGAGGTGTCTCCTCCTTCCCCTTAGGGCCCTGTTTGGAAGAAGGGCCTCGTTTCACTTGCCTGGTGGCACCTCGAACCGTTGACCTCTACTCTGGATTTGCTGGACGGTATTATCCCGTAGCCAGGTCCTCGTAGTTTTGGTTTCCCAATCCGATGACCTTCCTTGTTACCTCAGTGAGGACGTGTAGCCGCCACTGGAGCAGCCCGCAGCTGCGGGAGCCTGTGGCCAGGTGGTGCGCAGCAGGCGACGTCTGTCTGGATGCCGGACTGCCGCACTCACCGCCCCACCCAAAACAGTGCCAGGGCTTCGGTCCTTCGGCTTCCTGAGCAGGGGTGTCCGGGGCTGAGGACGCTGAGGCTCCGGGTGCAGGGAGCTCTCTCCCGTCCCGCGTTCTGTCCTCCCTGGAGCACACACTCCCCTACCCATTCCCCTCGCCTGTCCTAGCGCTAGAGCGCACCGCGGGAGCGCGGCTCCCCACTCCCTGCTCCAAATCCGCGGGCCGCGGGGGCTGTGGGCAACTGTCCCCTCCTCCCCCGGCCTACTGCCTCGGACACCTGGGTCCAGGGGGTCAGCGGAGAAGCCCGAACCCCGGACGAACGCGCCGGAACGCCAGCCTCCCCTCGCCCCCGGCAGCTGCGAAGGCCGATGCGTTTTCATTCCATATTTCAATTTGCCAGCGAAACGAAGCCGCGCGCTGCTGCGGGAAGAAAGAAAGGGGCTGAGGCCGAGATAGAGGTACGTCCCGGGGGAAGTGCGCTCAGCTGCTCTTCGAAAACGGAAGTCCTCGGGGACCTCAGCGAAATTTCATGTACGGTGTTTTAACTTGTTTTCCTACCGCGACCGGGCATCGAAGCGCGCGCGGGTCGGGGCGTCGGTGACCCGTGGACAGCCGGGCGGCGCAGGCGAAGTTCCCGGCGCAGCGGGCTCCAACCTCGCATGACAAGAGGGACCGCGCGAATGCCAGGGAGTACAAGGTCACCCTGCTCAAGAAACGCCACCCTCGGGAACTAGACAGGGTGCCTGGCTCTGTGAAGTCTCTCTTGAAATTTTCTTAAAACTTGCAATGAGATTTTTCCTCAAAAGTTTTCGTGCGCATACACAACACGTAAATGGTCTGTTTCTTGACCCAGAACGTAGTTCTACCAGGATACACATACGTAACAATTCTTCCAAATTTCCACGTAAGAGCTGTGCAGTTCAATGTATGTAAATTATAATAAAGGATAATTTGCGCAAGTCTATGATTTAAAAATAACACTAGACCTTTAATCCAGGCCTTCTTTTCTGTTTAAGAACAGGCTGGCGGCTATGGAAATTAACAAAGTGAAAAATTAAAAGCATCTTCCTTCCCCGTTTCTCCAAAACTGGCTGGGGATCGCCTCCCTTCCCGACTAGGCGTCGGCTCCCGGGCTCGAGTTTTCCCTTGATCGCCTCGCAATCTCGCACGGGCTCTGGCCGCTTCTGCCTGCGTCTCCGTTTCTCCCTGTCTTTTCTCAACTACGAAAACACACCCCGGTTCTTCGACTAAATTCAAATAGGAGCCCAGCGGAATTTACACGGTGTGTGTGCATTGTGTCAGCGCAGGGGAAATAGCATTTAGACACTGCATCCAATTCGAAAAATCGGGACGGGTCCTTCGGAGGCACCTCGGGGGCTCCATCCAGGCCCCGGTCTCCCAGCCCTTGGCGCGGAGAGCGCTGCCTTTGGGAGCGGGTCCGTGGGGAGGGCAGCAGTCTGCTGGCCACAAAAACCTGCGTGCCCCGAATCGAAAGCGAAAGGGAAGGAGGTAGCAGGGCAGTTCCCGCAGCGGCCCCGCGTCGCGGCTTCCCGCCGACTGTGGCGCAAGGAGTCCGGCTGGAGGTCCGCGACGGCGAGGCGCCGGAGCCCCTGTCCTGGCGACGCGTTTCTGTTCGTGTCGCTGAGAAACGTCAGGTCTCCAACCTGACGCCTCTCCTGGGGTCCACGCGGCCTGCCCTGGGCTCGGGCGGGGACTAAGGGGGGCCAAAGTGTGGACCAGGAGCCTGACCAGGTCGGGATTGCAGAAGGAGGACTCGGCGGGGCTCTTTTATAAAAACGCGGATGTCTCTGCATCCCGAGGAGACTTCGGAGTCACCCTAATGACCATCCTTTTAGTACCGATGGAAAAACCCAGGGCCAAAACGGAGAAGAGACGCTTTCAGACAGGGAGGACTTCTCTCACCTCCTTTTTGGGCAACTCGGACAGGACCGAGCCTGCAGAAACTTCCCTCCTGTTCCATGTGGTTTCTGCTGGGGACCCTCAGAGCCAGAAAAGGTCTCAAGGTCTAGGATCAGCTGAGGCCAGGCCTGGCACCAAGGCGCTCTCTGCCTCTGACTTTCCCCAAGCTCCTGGAAACCTCAGAGGATTTTTCCTTGAGCCCCATTTCTCCTCTCTTGAGTATACACCCTCACAACCGTGGGAAAAAAACAATTGTCAATGTATGCCTCAGCTTCTCTGCTTGCTGGCAGTTTAGAGAGCCCAATCCAGAGACCCTCCTCCTGGCTACCTCTGTAGAGGGCAGAGCCTTGCCTCTGGGGGCCTCAGTTTTCCCAGCTTAGACCTAATGTGCCTAATCTCTTTCCTACAAGGACCAGAAATCTCCTGGCCAGGGAAACTCAGCTGCTGAGAGAGGGCCAAGTACAAACAGTGACCTGCTCTTGGTTGTGGTGGCTTTGCCCGGAGCGGTGCCTCCATCTTAGGCTGCGTGGGAGTGGGGTTCTGTCCATGGACAGAGGGCTGCCTTTGGTCCCACCCTGCAGCTTATGACTTTGCCCGAGCAGCGGCAAGCGCTTGCCCTGTCCTCAGAATTGACTGCTCCCAGGTTCCAAACAGCACGGAGATCCGGTTGAAACGTGGAGGAGGGAGGCTGTTGCTCTCTCCACGAGGGGACATTTACGACCCAGTGAAGCCTTTCTATTATTGCCCATGATGCATATGAGGAAACCAGGGCTTAGAGAAGGTACTTGATCTCAGGTCACACAGTGGGTTAGGGGCGGTCCCAGGTCAAGTGGCTGGCCCCTTCCCTAAGCAGAGGAAGGGGCAGGCTGGCTGTGGGGGCCCAGCAGGGCACAAAGAGGGTGCTCAGAGGGGGCCAGCCCTGTTCCGCTTCTCTCTGAATCTGACTGCATCTTCTACTCAAGAGGTTGGGAGCTGCGTGGGCTCTCCTCTTACCTAATAGCTCAGCCTCCTCAGAGGCCTCATTGGTGAATTTCCTTAAAATACGAAAACCAGAGCAGTGGGAGAGAAAACATGTGAGTCCCCAGGCCGTGCACAATGAACCTCCACGGGTCCCCCAGCCTGTGACCTGCTCTCACCTAACAGTCCTGAATGACAGGGATGAGGAGGGGCCTGAGCCAGGGCTGGGAAGGCTGGTGTGCGGGAAAAGGGCTGAGTCCACATCGGCCTGAGCACGGCAGGAGCACCTGTGTGGTGTCTTCGATCTGAGTTCCTGACCTCATTCCAACTGGAGGTGCAGAGGAAGGGTGGAGGAAGTGGGAAAAGGCCACTGGATCTTTCTAAATCTCCTCAGGGTCCTGTCCTGCGGGTTTAGGAGTGTGTGCCTTGTTCAGGGCCACACGAGTGTGTTTTTGGGGTGTGATCATGTTTGCTCATAAAGAAGAGGTTTTGTGTGTGTGTGTAAAATGCAAGTGTATGACTGTGTACATGTATGTACATCTATGAACTAGGTCTGAGCCCATGAGAGAGTGAGTTTGAATATGAGAAAGCATTTGCCGAAGGATGTTTTCCTAAGGTTATTTAGCCACCAAGGCCTCCACCATGTCCCTCCTCGGTCCCCAGGCCTAGTGCCTCTCCATCCTGCCTGTCCTGGGGCAGTGGAATTCATTGTCCTGTCACTACCCTCGTCTCACCAGGGCCCTGCCTGAAGGCCAAGGCCTCAGGAGGAGAGTGTGGACCAAGGGCTCCTGGCCCAGAAAAGGCTTTTCCCTCCCTTCTCAGTGGCTCTTCCTTTTAGTTTGAGGATCGCCAACACCGATTTTGTGGAGGAAAAGAAGGCCTAGGCTCCTAAACTGTTCTGGCTTCAGAATGCCCTTGAGGCTCTCTCCCAGCGCAGTGACTGCTGCATTCGGGGACCCAGGCCTGCGCTCTGCAGCCACGTTCAAGAGGCCTTGGAGGTCATTTAGGCTATCTCCCTCGGGTTACCTGTGGGCCCAAATCGGGACCTAGACCTTTCTGTCTCCCCACAGCCCTGGGCCACCTGGGGCTCCGCGGCTTCCTGCCTCTCCTCCGGGTCGGCCCTAAACCATTGTTCCTAGGCCGGCGGCCTCCAGGGATCGCCGAGGGAGAAGCGCCCGGGAAAGTCAGGCCTGCCCGAATCCCCGCCGCAAGCAGCGCCCTGGGTCCCGGGATCCCGGGGTCTTCTGGGACCCCAGGGTCTCCAGACCCACACTTGTGTCACGCCGCGGTGCCTTGGCTTCCCACACGCGCTCCGCCAACTGCGCTCCGGGCTTAGCCGGCCGCACCTGCGACGCTCTCACCTGCGGCGCCGCCCGAGGAGCCTCCGGGCCGGCGAGGAGCGAGGCCTCCGCAGCCCCGGGCCGGGCGCCCGGAGCGCTGCACCGCGACTCCTTCCCGCCGCACGCCGGGAGCTGCTACGAAGCATCCGCTTCAAATCCGGCCCCGCGGGCAGAGCGAAGCGAGCGGTTTGGGGAAATGCCGGAGACCATGAGAAACAAACTCCAGATTTAATTTAATAGCCAAAACGCTCCGCGCCTTGGAAGGAGGCAGAAAGGATCCTCTGGCCCCCTCGGCGCAGTCGATCTTCATCGACTGGAGTCACCCACCGCTTGTCCTGCGCCTCCCCTGCCCTCCAACTCCTACCTCCCGTGAGCCGAGTAGGTTTCTGGGGGTGCCGAAGCCACGGATCCCGAAGTCCCCAGCCCCCGGTGCCCCGCACGTGCACTCACCGTAGCAGGGAACTTGCAAGGCCGCGTTGTGGCCGCTGCTGCCTTCTTGGAGTTTGAGGCTGCCGTCCGGGGGCGTCTTGCAGGCGCCTCGCTGCAAATAAAGATGCGGTTGTTGCGCGGGCGGCTGCGGCTGCGGCGGCTGCGGCGGTGGCGCGGGCTGCGGGGTCGGCGGCGGCGGCTGGAACTTGTTAAAGGAGCCCCGAGCCCCAGCGCCACTCTCCAGGGGTGCCGCCAGGTCCTGCTGCCCCGCGCCGTAGCGGGCCCGGCTTTTGGCGTCCGCGAATCCCTGTCCTTTGGCAGCGGCCGACAGGAAAGTTGTGCCGAACTTGTCGCCGCTGGGGAACGCCCTAAAAGGCGACGAGCCCTCCCGGCTCTGCGACACCGGGCTGTAGTAGGCGTCCATGGCAGTGGCCGGCGACTCGCAGTAAGAGACGCAAGTCTCAACATTCATGCCTGGCTGGCGCGGGCGACGGGCGGGGGCGCGAGCGAGGGCGCGAGGACGCCACCGCGCGCCTTGGCTGGGAGTTTGGAGAGGCGAGGAGGCGGTGGCCGTGCACTCCGCGCCCGGCCCGCTCGCTCCCCTCCTCCTCCTCCACACCCGCTTCTCCCTCTCTCTCTGTCTCTCTCCCTCCCCTCCTCCCCCGTCTTCTCCCCACAGCTGGCCCAGGGAAAGAACGGAGGGCTGTAAAAAGATTCAGATGTTTCGGAAAGTTGACCAGATCTCCCAAACCCTAAGGTTTTGAAGCGGAAAAAAAAGATTGATTTTTTTCCCCTGACTTGCTCCTTCCTTCTCCCCTCCTTCTTCCCCTCCTCCTCGCTCCCTCTTCTCCTTCCACCAGCCCCCGCCCCTCCCTTCCTCCTTCCTCCTCTTCAAGAGATGCTTCTAACTCGCTAGCCCGGGATTCGACCCGGAGGCGCCCGAGGCGCTTTCGGATTCGAGGTGGGGCTGGAGAGGTGCCAGGACCCCCAGGGCTCCCGAGGCTAGAAGCGAATTGGCGGGTTGTCCGAGGTTGGGATGGGGGAATGCAAATTTTAATGACAGGTTTTTTTAAAAAAAGGCACCAGAAAACAAACTTAACAGGTTTTGACGTTCGGAGTCAGAGGGGCCGCCGGCCTGCGGCTTGCCTGGGTGCAGGCAAGTGGTTGGGACGTGTGCGCGCGAACTCGGAGGCGCAGCTGCGGGCCTTCCCGCTGGTACCTTTTCTTCGGTTTCCGACCCCTCTTTCCCACTCCGGGTTCCTCCAGGAGATTAACACACACAAGCCTTAGTCATCCTGCGCACCGTCACTTTCACGTCTTGTTAACTGTTTCCCTTCCCTGAAAGGGCGCTGGGCTGGGACGCGGCGGGGTCTGTGTTCCCTCAACCTCGGGAGAAGCCCTCGGCCGGGTCGGGCTTCAGAAGCCGTGAGCGCTGCCCCCTGCGCTCCCTTCCCGAGGCCGAGACGCTCACGCCCCAGGTGTGCGCCCAGCCGAGGGGACTTTCTGGCAGGCAAAGCTGAGAGTGAGGAGTCCGGAGACCCGCTGGCCTCGCCAGACTGTCGCGCTGTTACTTGCTCATTGTTTGCGGGAGGAGGGTGGTGAGGCAGTGTCTTCCCTCTCTGGCCTCACTGCCCCGACCAGAACGAAGGGTTTAGATTTGATGGGTTATGCTTTCCCCACCGGGTGCACCTCCGGGTCCCCGAACCTGCCATAGCAAGGGAAAAGAACTTTGTCCATGGAGCTCCTTCCACATGGCTAATCTTCCATTTCGCTTCAGGACAACCGCGAGTGATAGCGATTGGGGTCCCCAATTTTCCGATGAGCAAACCGAGGCTCAGAGAGGTGTGGGTCACATGGCCGAGGTCTCACAGCTGGGAGGTAGCAGCGTCGTCCTCGTAACTTATGCTTAGGCTAGTCCCTCCACTGACCTGGCAAGGGGATGCCAACAGGGAAGACACAAAGAGAAAAGGGGCCTCCCTGGGCAGAATGGCTCATATCGAAGGAACGCGGTTGGAGCAGTCCTCCTTAAACCGCATGCGAAATCCATGGATCGCGCACGGACGTCCAGGGAGTCTGGGAGTGGGGCGAGAGGTGAAAGGACAAAGTAAAACGAACAGGGCCTGAGCACCCTGAACCCAGGAATGTGGATCAGAAGTCAGCTTTCTACACCTGTTTCCCCAAAGAAAAAGTGTCTGGGGGGCGATAGTGCTTCTACCCCCAATCTCATCTGGGCTAATCCTTGTCCCCACCCCTCCTTGGTATCTGTGGTCCTTGCTCCGCGGCGACTGCGCGATCCCACATATGGTTTCCATCGCGGGCTTACCTTGAAGTGCTCGTTAATAAAGATATTGGGCAAACCCAGCTAGGAGCGCGTGGCCGGAACTCCTCCCCCACCGCCCCTTGGGAACTGCACCTCCCTAGCCCGCAGACCTAAGCCATGGCAGGGTCCTATATTTACTGAGTGTCTGTTGTGCCAACAATCTGGCCACCCATGCCTTATCACACCCATTTTGCATATGGGTAGAGTGAGACTCAAAGCAGCAAAATAATTTTTCAACGTCAGATAGAAAAAAGGTGGGTGAGCCTGCCATCATCCTAAATGCTCCTATTCGGTGGAAGTTTCTTTCAGTTCCTAGAACCCTGCCAAGCTCTCTGGTTTGTGCACCATAGATGCCGTCCCCAACCCTGCCAGTCTGTGGCCTGATAGGGCCTTGGCAGCAGAGCTCCGCTGGACCCACACCCCCCTCCGTGTAAAAATCATCTTCCATGAAACTTAGAAAAGGAGGGGGGTGTGCACAGCAGGAGGTTAGCGGCTGAGCCAGGGAAGCGTCATCTGTATTTACAGCCGCTCCCCATTGCTCACATCACTGCCTGAGCTCTGCCTGCCTCTCTGTCTGTGGGAAGAGTGTCTTCCATGAAACCGGTCCCTGGTGCAAGAAAGGTTGGGGATCGCTGCACCACAGCATGGGTGGCTCCCTTTACCTGGAATTCCCCAACCTCACTCCCGCATTCGTGTGTGGCTAGTGATTCAGAGCTCAGTCTAGAGTACCTTCCTCTTGGGACCCTTCCCATCTCTCCCAGGCCAGGCTGATGCTTCCATTTGCCTCGTCTCTGTCCCAGGCTTCCTGGTTGTCTGGTTGCCTGGCTACTCGTGCGTCTCAACCCCACTAGTCAGTGGCTCCCCCAGGTCCTACATGCTTGGTGTCCCACAAATATTTAGAAATTTTAAATAAAAGATTAAAGTCAGGGCTGTAAGACTCTAGTCCATGGTTCCTTCCAACTGCCCAGTGTGGCACCAAGTTCCAAGGGTCTTTGGTTTCTCCCCGCTGAGGACAAGTAGTCCACCCACTCCCTCTTCGAGAATCAAGTGACAAAATGAACAGTGTGCTGGCCCCCACCTGGGTCGGTGCCTGGATAAGTCAGTCATCTCAGAGCAGGGGCCAGGTCTGTCTTGTTCACTACAGGACTTGGTGCTCATAAAACGTGTATTGAAGGAATGAATGAAAACGTTGTGTGGCTCCCAGGGGCTTAGAGATCCATCTTTGTCATGGAGTTCCAAATGAGCAGGCTGCTCCGGTCCCCTTTGCCCACCAGCTGCCTGCAGGCACCCAGATGGTGGCAGTAACCCTCCCCATCTTCCCCCACCTCCATTCGTGGCCTAGAAACAGGGGGATGGCTATGAGAGGTGAGCTGAGGTGGAGGGGATGTGGTAGGGTGGGGGAATGACCCCAGGCCAAGGACGATTGCAATTACACAATATTCCTAGTAACCTCCAAGCCAGGCGCACGCAATACAAAAATCTGCCATATTCTGGGAAGCTTTTTTGAGCACCACCTCTCTCCGCCTGCCCACCCTGAGCTTTTTTTTCACCTGTTTAATTACTGCCTCATTATTCAATCTCTTCCCCACCACGAGGGGATTCAAAGCTGAGCACTCAGGGCTGGCACAGCATTTAATGCTCTCAGCCAGTATCTCTCCTGTCTCCCCAGATCCTGCATCCTTGGAAGAGACCCCGCATCGGTAGAACGAGGGCCCTCTACCCTCTAGACGGACCCAGGAAGAATGAGTGTGTGCTTTCGAGTCAGTAAGTGCCTGGGGATTTGGCCAAGTCTGTGTGACATTCTGGATGAGTGTGTGACCTGAAGCCCTCGTGCAAACCTCCATCAACCCCCTCTCCTGGTTCCTTCCAAAACGCCATGCTAATAAGTGTAGCTGGTCATTCTGTGTGTGTTCAGCCATTTGTTCATCTGTTGGTCCATCCAGCCATCCCTCTATCCATAGCTGAAAGCTGAGTGGTTCCCACTGGTTCCTCAGCAAGGGTGCAGGGCACCCTTCCAGCCTTGTGGCCACAGGGAGAGTGCCGAAGTGCGGTTCTGGCCTGGCCTCTGCTCTGCAGGTGTGTTATTTCTCCCGAAGCTAAGGTTCGCCTTGGTTCGCTGTCTGCCTCCCACCAGGTCCCCAACACGCCAGGCAGTGTCTCTGCACACCTGGTTACTTGGCTGTGTACTGGGAACCCTGGGGATCTGTGGGGCCTTCTGCTTCAGGTCCTGCAACCCCACCACCTCCCGGCTAGCCTCTCCTCCCTCCCTTTTGCTTCTCCCAGGCAGCCCTCCAGGAAGCAGCTTCCCCCTTCTGGGGGCTCTGCACAGGAGAGCAGGGGTGGGGAAGTGGTGAAGAAAGGTCTTTCTTCCTCAACCTTAGTGCTAGATAGATGTCGCCTGTGGGAGGGAGGGCAGCGAGGGAGGCTTCCTTCACCACCCTAGCTGCCCCCTGTCACATCTGCCTGTTCCTCCATAACATCTGTTGTGATCTGGCATTATCGCCCACATTTGTGAATTTACTTGGTTTGTTGTCCATCTTCCTGCTAGAATGCGAGTCCATGGCCACTCTCTCCCCAGTGCTGAGTATATAGTATTTGGCACACAGCGCTGCTCGGAAAATATCTGTCAAATGGATGACTGAATGAATGAATGAATGAACAGCAGAGAGCACTGCTTCAGGCTGGAGGGTAACTGCCTGGTCCCTGTGGCTAAAGGCTGAGCTGTTGAGGCAGAGCCCAGGAGTGGAGGATTGAGTTAGTTAGAGGGTCCCTGATGGGGGGAAGGCACAGCAGACACTACTTTCTTTCAAAGGGCAGGACAGATTTGGAGCCACCCCCTTTAGTCCGAGCTGCCCCCACTCCCCAGTCCTCCATGGCACTCCCACCCTTACTGGGCGGACGGACAGTGGAGCTGAGGAGAGGGGTACCCCAGCTTCAGAGCCTGACTGGCACTTACCTTCTATGAAACCTCGCCTGACTGCCTCAAGCCTCAACTGTGGGGACCATACCCCCCTCAGTCGTGTACCGTACTTGGTTTGAAGTTGCCTCTCTGCAAATGACAGGAGGGTGTGAAGACTGCTCAGAAGTTTGGGGTAGCTAAAAAGACATCTTGGACGCCCGCAGGGGAGACGGGAAGAGTCAAGATATGAAGCCCAGAAGCTTAAAAATCTTGCGTCCCCTCTTGTCCTGGGGACCCCT